CAAGAGAATAGTTAATCATTAAATTCTTGTACTGGGTGATAGATAAGAAAATTATTTGCCATTTTATCTTCTATTTAAAATTATGATAAACGAAAGCAGTCTTTTTCCCATTAGTAAAAACAAATGACATTGAAAGTAAAGGCTGTGAATGTTGTCAGAAACTCTATTAAAGTTCCGGTGACTACCTCAGAAAAAGCAATGAAAAAACAACTTAAAATAAGCTTAACTGGCTAAAAAAGAATATCCTGTTCTTTAGTTTTAATATAATGTGAAAAAGGTTTGTATTTACAGTGCAGTATGGAGGACTATGAAGGGGATCTTATATTGATTTCTTATCTGTTCCCCTTCTCCTCCTCTTTCCTTTTGTTTGTTAACGCTCACCTGTCAAATCATGTCTTTAAATTGTCTGGGAAAATCAGACTGCAAATTTTTAGGGGAAGAGACAGTCTTCCTCTGTGTTCTGATAGCACCTAGCATGAAGCCACTCCCCTCAATCCTGATTCAGGGAATAGATTTTCAAAACTACTCAGAAATGACAACTGGAGTACAATTTTTAAAAGAACCCCATTCCCATTTAACTAAATGAGGCAGATTTTCAAAAATAGCTCAACAGCCAGAAGCTCTCACTTATGTACCTAAATGGGAGCTATTGGGTGTTGAGGTCTTCCCTAGAGACTTTGGGTAAAAATCCTAGTTCCTCTGAAGTCAATGGGAGTTTTGTCATTGACTTCAATGGAGCCAGGATTGCCTTTCATGCAATACTGCAATGGAAATAAATAATCAATATTCTCTGCTTCCATTATTCCCAAACAAATAAAGAGTTACAATATATTTTCTTTTATACGGTCTAATAAAAGGACTAGGATTTAGAAATATTATTTACCATGGGAAGCAGAGAGACTTGCCTTCTTAGCTGAATGCTTCTATTATTTGACCTAACGATTACAATTTATTATTCAGAGGTTCAATCTTACAATGGATAATTATTACATTGTAAGAGAACAGGAAGGAACTGCAATGTATAAATTGACTGAAGTAATACATATTAATCCCATAAAAGCTAGAAATTTTGGCTTTGCAAGTCTGATTTTGATGAAAATATTGAATAAGCCATTTTTTCTTGGATCCTCAAGCAAACAATCTGTACTAGTCCTTAATAAAATGCACTGAAGATTAATAGACTTTCAGAAGATTATTGTTAAAATATTGGGAAAAGCTAACAGCTCTGAAGTTAAGTCAATTTAATTGTAAATAAGACATTAAAATAATTCAAATGATATAGACAAAACTCAAATTTATCATTAAGTTATTTAATATATCATTGTAGTTAGGGCTTACAGATAACATTTGACTTGGGTCATATAAACTAGTCTACCAAAGTGGTCTGTAATCAGACTAAATATAAATGTTATCTTCATATTATCCTTGATGTTGAGAAATCATTATAGATCATATTGGGAGGTGGGGGAAATCCCCAAAGATGTATTCTCCCGACTGCTCTGGAGTGGAAGTAAACTATCACAGGGGCATCTAATATGCTGCCCAATGTGCAGGCGTAACTAATTTAGTTTAGGACCTGTTGCAGATGGGATCTTAAGTTAACTTGAGAAATCATATTATATGCACAGAAGTGGAATCATTTAGGTACAGATTCTGACACAGTTACTCAAGCTGAATAGTACCTTAACCCACAAATGACCTAACTGAAGTCTAGTCTGAGTGAGGGCATCAAAATCAGGCCTTTCATGATTATGCTGATGCTTTATTATGCTCTTTCATCTGCTTCCTTTGGACAATTGATATAACAGGATCTTGTGGTAAAGGTGCCTGTATGATAAAGGTAGCTATTACCAGCTATTTTTCAGCTAACCTGTATCATTTTAATTTGCTAAAGTTACAGTTCAAGTGGAAATACTTTCAGGAAAAGCTCATCACAGTTACAGCTTTGTAGGCAGCTCTGGGCAACACCAAGAGGATGCTGGAGATAAATATGTTTAAACATTTTTCTGCTATTCCTAGTCAAATCTGCTGCAGAGTTATTGGGTGTTTATCTCCTATTATTGGCACCTCTGAAATATACTCACTTTAAGTTTTGGCCTTGGGACAAACTGAAACTGACTAACATATAACAGAAGGGATATGAAGATACATTAAGTATGGAGCTGTAACAATGTTCCTGTTGCACATAAGTGAAAGTACTTGGTCTCCCATCATTTGAAGCAGCACACTATTCCAAGATGGAAAACTCTTGCTGCTGGCAAGGCTAACTATTTGTAAAGGTGGATTTAAGGAAATGTACTAAATTAATGCTCATTTACTTGTATAATTATGTGCTGTCTACATAAACCGACAGACTTTTACCTTTCCAATATTAGCACTAAGTTAATGGAAAACAGGACACGGGAGGGTGTGTGGGCATGCCAATGCTGATGAATGTCAAGCTCAAGTTACCTGACTTGCTTGTTGTTTTAACATCTGTACAGTATACCATCTAATGCATCACCTCTCAGACTTTTAAATCTGTTATTTTAAATACATTCACAGCAATTTGGCTTAAAAGCGCCTTTGATTATTAAAATAAAAGGCAAGTAGGTAACCTGTATCTTTAGCTTCTTTGCCACCTGATATGTTAAACAGCCTTCATACCTTAAACTTACTTTAATAAAGCATGCAATTATTAAAGCATTGCAGAATGGCCCCAGAGCACACAAGCTCCATTAAATTTGCTTATATCTAATTATGACTGCCTGAGGCAGGTGAGAAATTGAGTCTGATACGATCTTTCTTTTTACCTTAACCAAAAAAAAAAATAAAGGCAGCAGTGATTTTCTATCTAATTACTATCTACAACTATTTACGGTATTTTCTCCTTAAATGAACACTCCACAAAGCATTCTTTGTGCAGTAACCAGTCAATTCTAACTTTTTAAAAGCGTCTGAGATACAAAAGACAAGTTTATCTTGCTTCAAGGATGATACAGGTCACCAACGATGTCACCCCAAAGTCACTTTCTGAATCACTCAGGTCTTACCACTTTTTAAATGGATTTTGGTTTAAAAACTAAAAATTATTTTGGTTCTAAACAATTTGTAAGAAGTACTAAATTGTCATACAGTTCAAGAGAGCTGCTTATGAGCAAAGCAAATGAAACAAAGTTCAGTTGGTGACATACAATTACTTAGTTCTGAAAAAGCATATTAGTTAATCTTACTCTTCTATCTCACACTGAGATGTTAAGTGCTGTAAAAATATAAGCAACATCCCTTCTCTGTTTGCTGTGCATGAGCTGGAAACTTTCTTTCTTTTAAATAAAAGATCTTGAGCTTTTTTCTTTATTTAAAGATGGGTTGGTGGGAGGAAGTGAGGCAGTTAATTCCTATAGATTGTACCTGATCACCCCCACCAGAGGAGAAAATGGTATTAAAAATCATAGAATCATAGAATATCGGGGTTGGAAGGGACCTCAGGAGGTCATCTAGTCCAACCCCCTGCTCAAAGCAGGACCAATCCCCAATTTTTGCCCCAGATCCCTAAATGACCCCTCAAGAATTGAACTCACAACCCTGGCGTTAGCAGGCCAATGCTCAAACCACTGAGCTCTCCCTCCCCCAAATTGGGAACATCTCATGTAAACTGAGAGTGAATGACAAAGTTTTGTGTTTCTAGTCATTTTAATAATGCTAACAGCACTGAAAGATCCACTGAGAACAATGAAATGAGACCATACTAGTAAGTGCTGTAAAACTAAAGAGTTGTGACAAGGGAACCCAGCTGGAGCTGAAATGACTTCAACAAGGAAAATGAATAAATAAAAATATATTTTTTTAGAGTGATAGTAGTTTCAAGCCAGGATATGAACAAACAACTAAAGGTACTCCACATAACTCTTAAACAATAGTACACCACAATATTACCCCTTTATTTTTAAAAAGGGTATTTAAGGCAGTAGAAAAAGGCATTAGATACAATGTGAAAGTGTCACATCTATGCTGAATGTAAGACCTGTCACATGCCAAGGTTATTCGACACAATTTATCAGATATATATTTTTATCCACCCATGTAGAACTGACTCTTTTCTATTATACTAGCCATTCTTTGGTCTAATGACCCACAAAACCCTAGTGACCCCAAAAGAAAAAGGGGTTTTTGTCAGTTTTATTCTTAAACCCTAATCTGATACTTTTACATGAAAAACTGCTTAGAGTCCTGTAATTTGGAAATGATGTATTGTGCCATTAATAAGGTTCTCATCTGCTTCTGTATGGTTACAGAACACGTGCCACTCAATAAAGCTTTCTTTAATAGTCCACTTGGGTATATCTTTTGTCTTTGCAAACATTCAGGTCATCTTTTGTAATAGCTTGCTTCAATATAAAAGTCACACTTCAAACCATTGCCAATGAAAGTCAAAAGATATGTTGATTTTGAGCTCCGATTTACTCAAACAACTAAACTATAACTCTCATTCTTTAAAAAAATATCAGTGACATCACCTAGTGTGTGCTATCAGTTTCACAAATTTAAAGATTGCTGTTATACAAGTTCTTTGAGTCCCAACATAATTACATCATGTTGGATGTTAACTTGTTAATTCTTCGTTAAATCTTTTTGTGATATTTTATAATTCTGAACCCATCTCTAGCCATCAATTTGTATTCCCTTTGAATGACCGTACTGCGGACCATTGCATTATATATGTAGGTATACTGGGGGGGAAAACAACTGAAGGAATTTAATGACTAAGCTACAAAAATCTATTGTGTATATTATGTATTATTCATAGGTTCCATTAATTGTTCAGACATACTGTCATATTCTGGCAATACTCATTTTAAAATCTATCCTTCTTCACCTCTTCATATTACTGTTTTTCACCTTAAATTACAAAACAGAGTTTTTGTTTTCTTTTTCCTTGCTGTGCTTTTGCAGTTGCTAATTAATAAATTAAGTTTACCAAAGTGTTAACATACAGCACTGTTTATAATCTGGATACCTACCAAAAGCTGCTACTTTTATGATGAGGGCTTGAATGTTAGATGATATCATTTCTTTGAGCAAAGCTTCCTGGTTTTGACGCCAAAGGTAAGCTAAAGGCTGCAGATTAAGCCTCTTACACCTATTTAAAAGAAAAATAAAGACAAATCATTGGGTAAATTCCAATATTATGCTCTTTTACACAATTGTTCAACAATAATTGTAACATTTCTTGGGTGTCCTACTATTAAACATGTATGTTTTCTAAACCTTCAATATTTTACTATAATGAATGTATTAAAAACATGTTATCTTTTATAAAGTACAGTGTATATGTGCACTGTATGAAAAAAGAAAACTAAACATTCTGATTTTAATTGTACCTGTACAAATCACTGATGTTAATCATGTTACACTGGTAAAATAAGTATAAACAAGGAGAAAATTAAGCCCCAAAATTTCATATACATAACTCCATATAAATGCAGAAGATGGTATATTTCTGTCCACAATATTAAGGTCAACGTTGCTTAAAGTGGAATGCACAGAGCAGATAGCCACTGCATACTCTGGGGATCAACTGGATTGCCACATATGGAATGAGTATAGAATCTGTAAGAGAGATACAAAATACCAACCCAAGAAGACTAGTTTCACCTGCTGTACTTACACTTGTAAATGTTGGTTTGACTATGCTCTTTAAATTGCATTAATATTTATCACATTAGACGATCACTAATTCACACTACTGATAGTGAGAGACCAACTGCAAATTAGCAAATTTTGTGAATTAGTGAGAAAGTAGATAAAAACAAAAATAAAGCAAGGGGACTTTGTCCATTAAGGCCCAAACCCTGCAAACACAAACAAGTGGATAGCCTTACTCAAATGAGCAGTCCTATTAAAACAATGCTCAAATTACATGCAAAATAGACTTATTTGAAGTGAGCTGTAGCTCACGAAAGCTCATGCTCAAATAAATTGGTTAGTCTCTAAGGTGCCACAAGTACTCCTTTTCTTTTTGAAAATAGACTTATTTTGTCAATTATCATTGTTTCAATTATTTAACACGTGATAGCGTATTAGAAGAATTAACATTATTTTTAAATGTGCCTAGAATTGGGGACCTGAAGAAAAGCTCTTTGTAACTCAAAACTTTGTCTGTTTCAACAACAGAATTTGGTTTACACTCATGTTAAGGTTTATACTCTTCTCCTTCCAAAGCACCAAGAGTTTTATTTGCAAATAGACTTTTTAAAAGCCCAACAAAGCACAAAAAGTCTTGAGCATGTTGCTAGGGTGTGCATATTTGCAAGTGTATCTTATACAATCAATTTTTGTTGAAACTCTCAGAAGAAGGAGTACGGTACACCCACATTAAACGAATCTTCCCAATACAAATGAGAAATGCAAGTTGCTGCTTAATGATTTTTTAAAATTATTAAACAAACTCCTTCTGTGACAGACTGGGATCTTTGGTAAGTTTTGGCTTGTCTTCAAAAGGAAGTAATGGCAGTACAGCCAATATCAGGTGTCTCATCTCTTTTATTAATTGAAAAAGATATGGTGCTTTTCCTATTAACGCCTGATCATCTTTCAGGAGATGCTAGATTTAGCTGGTTTTCGGGAAAGTATGATGATTCAGTGGATGAGCTTTGTATAGTCTACAATATTTCTTTGTTTTCAGATTCTTGTGGGTCAAAATTATATTTATTATGACTCTGGTCATTTTTATTTCCTGTCCTTAATGTAAATTTCAGTTGAAAAATGTCAACTGGTAACCACCAGATTATTTTGGTCAATTCTACATTTTGGAATTGAGCAGTGACTCTATTGTTCCCTTGGACTACTGGATCCTCCAGCTGAAGCTGAGAAAGGTCAGTGGAAGTAAATGGACCAATACCTCTCCCATTATATCAATGCCAAAATTCTCAATAATTTCAATGGATCCAGGATTAGACAAAAAGAAGCCTGTAGAATCCATCAAATCCATCTACTATCATTTCACTACTAGTATACATGCAAGATATACATACAGAGAAAAAAGCACAGTGCTTTCGGTTAGTATGTTTTACAAATCAGGTATCTTAGAATATGGAATAAAAACACCTGTTTCTGTTTTATACTACAGACTTTTTGTTGGTTTTGTGCACATCACTGACAAAAAAATCTTTTTCAAATTTATAAGTAACTTCTCAAGAATATTTTCTTACACGTCTTCCACTCGAACTCGTTGATAGTCAGAAAAAATGGCTCCTACAGAGACACCTTCCACTTCTTCCTTGTCCTTAGGGGAAAAAAAAGAAAGGCATAGTAGTGTTACAAATACGTTAATGCACATACTCATCGGCAGACTGGAGATTCAGAAATACATAGTACTTCACTTTGAAAACCAACCAGAAAGGGTGGATCCTTTTCTCAGTACCTAGTATTTAAAAAAAAAAAAAAAAAAAATTGAGTAGTCTGCAAGGTAGATCTGCTCCATGGATACTACACCAACCTCAGAGGGAGCAGTACTCTGCTACCTTAGTACCACTACTCTACAAAGGAAATATCCAGTGTATCTGCAAAGCAACAGGCCCTACCCTGCAACCCTGTTCCTGAAACTCCTACCACCATTCAGTGTAGCTGCTCTGGTTCCATTATGCCTGGTACCCTCCATTCCAACAGCAGAAAGGCAGGATTTGCCATTTTGCCCCTCAGAGCACAAATGAAGGCTTATTATGTTCCTCCCTCCTACAATCTATGTTGGGATGTTTTTCACCACCGAGGAAGTCTCTGAGGATTCCTAATGATTTTTCTCTACTTTAAATTCTTTGCTCTTCTTCCACACAAGGTCCTATGCCACAACAATGAATCTCAGCAACCTGGGAAAAACTATACAGCCAGTTATTACTTTACTTAAAACAGGTCTCTGTCACCCTAAGGAAGATCATTCCATTGACAAACAAATCTTATCAAGATACAGTGGTCACCATTAAACAGTATTTTCCAATGTTTATGACAGAGTGGAGTGTGCGATGATGATGTTTTTTCCATACACAGAACAGTAGGTATCTGTGGTAACTGTGAGCAACTGTTGACTTTGATAGCTTCTGTTATCAAACAGATTTTCTGGGTTGTTTTCCCATATGATCATTGTTTCTGTTTTTAATTACTTAAGCTGATATTCTTTTCTTTGCAAATATAGTAGAAAATATTACATTTTAAAATGAATGTACTTTTAAAATGATTCATGGGAAGCATCTGTTTTTTGTTTTTTTTTTATCTTGAGTTCAAATCAGAACCAATTTACTGGAACAGAAGTAGCATTCTTCTTCCTAAATTTGCACCCAGTAAAACTGACTTGAGCTGAATTAGTTTTCCTGCCATGGCTGATCATGGCTTTAAGGTGTAACTTCTCCTCTGAGGTTGTTGTGCCTTGTACCAATACTGTGAAGTCTGCAGCAAGGCTTTCTCACAAAAAACTTTCATCTATATACATATCCATATATGTATCTCAGAATGAAATTGGTCTTTTTTTTTGTCATGACATTCAATTGCAAACTCAGTCAGTTCCTTATCAGTAATTACCCCCCAAGTCACCTGCTTCATAACTATTTTTAGATAACAATTCCGTTTTATTCCTGTGCTGCATTATCCTTTCCTTCGTGTATTATTTTATACTTCTTTACATTAATTCTCATCTCATACCAGTCCAACCAAATTCCCAAGTTGTTCATATCCAACTGTATTTTTGATTGAAAATCCTCTCTATTTGTCATAACTCCTAGCTGTATCATCTGCAAATTTGATCACTGTTGAATTTACATTCTCCTTCAGGTCATTAATGAATGTTGAATAATACTGATCTCAATACCAAGCTCTATATGGGATTCCTCTTGATGCCTCTGCACATTCTGAAGTAATACTATTGATAATAAGTTATGATATCTTATCTGTCAGCAGTTCATTATCCATTGATATTATTATCAAGACAATACTCCTCCTGCTTCTCTTTGAGATTCCTGTACAATACTAAGTCAAGGGACGTTTAAAAATACAGATAAATTACATCCACTGCACTTCCCTTGACCACCCAGTCCATTACTATATTTAAAAAGAAAAAGAGTAATCAAGCTAAGATCAAGCCAAGCAGAATTGTCTCTGAATAGAATTCTTTACAAAATTTTCCATGGAGCCTTCTTGGGTCTATTTAAGTGTATACTATACATTTGAAAGCTTTTCTCAGATATTTCTTTGTTCTGTTTGTCTTTGACATGTGAGATACATGTACTGCTATTAGTAATACTAGTACCACTTATATATTGGGTTGCCAGGAGTCCAGTGTTGGACCGGAATACCCAGTCGAAAAGGGACCCTGGTGGCTCCAGTCGGCACTGCCAACCGGGCTGTAAAAAGTAAAGTCGGCGCTGCAGTGGGGGCCGCAGCTAAGGCAGGCTCCCTGCCTGCCCTAGCGCCACATGGCTCCTGGAAGCAGCCGCCAGGTCCCTGCAGCCCCTAGGTGCATAGGTAGCCAGGGAGGCTCCGCGCGCTGCCCCCGCCCCGAGAGCCAGCTCTGCAGCTCACATTGGCGGGAACCGTGACCATTGGCTGGGAGCCGCGGTAAGCACTGCCAGGACGCCCCACGCCCTCCTGCACCCCAACCCCCTGCCTCACCCCCAGAGTCCCTCCCACACCCAAACTCCCTCCTGGAGCCCGCACCCCCCCCAACACCCTGCCCCAGTCCCCTCCTGCACCCCAAATCCTTCATCCCCAGAGCCCACCCCCCCAAGCTGAAGCCCGTACTCCAGTCCTCTTCCCCAGCCAGGAGCCCTCTCCTAATTTCTGGCCCCACCTGGAGCCCGCACCACCTGTCCAGATCCCATACCCCCACTACCCGAACCCCTTGCCCCATCCCAGTAACCTCTCCTGCATCCCAATCCCCTCATCTCTGGCCCCACCCTGGAGCCCGCACCCAGAGCCAGGGCCCTCAGCCCCCTTCCACACTCCAACCCCCTGTCCCAGCCCAGTGTAAGTGAGTGAGGATGGGGGAGAGCAAGCGATGGAGGGATGGAGCGAGCGGGGTGGGATCTCAGGAAGGGGTGGAGTGTTCGGTTTTGTGCGATTAGAAAGTTGGCAATCCAATTTATATAGCACAGTCAGGTTCAAAGCACTTTATAAAACAATATAATTATCCCCATACCAAATTTGTTAGGTACAGCAGCTAAGTATTATTCTGTATATTTGCACTTTATGTAAATAGTATATGCTTCGCATTAGCATTACTTAGTTATAAAATAGGCTACACCATGGAATAATGTATTGCAGTTTAAGTATATTAATGCACTTCTCAAAAGATTTAAGTTCACTTAGCCTTCATGCTTGTGCCTTATACACATCCACGGAGTATTAATAGATCAGTGACCTATTGAACAAAATGTGAATGATGCCACTATAATTCATGTAGCTCATTACCACATTTACAACCAGATTTTCTGTTTATCCATGTGCCATTATAAAAATCATTGTATGTTGTGAAGTGAGAGTTTTCCACTTTCATTAATATTCTTAAAGTTTTCAGTGACCATTTCTAAGAGTACCATGTTTTTAACTGAAAACACCTGAGTGAATTGTTCCATCTGAAACTCCAAAAATAAAAATATTTACAATAAACTAAGGCTTTGCAATCACATTTTAGGCATTAGGTCTAGAAAGCAAAGAAAATATCAGTGTTGTGTATCCAAAGTATGACTTCTAACTGTTAATTATTAGCACTATGAATGAATGAATGACACACTATCATCCTCATTCTAATTACTGTGTATTTCTACTTCTGACCCAGCCACTGAGATGTACTTAGACATGACTTACTCTCTACAATATGGCAAAACTGCACAACAACATGCTATTGACTTTATATTCTGGCTGAATTTATTCTTGGCTCGTCACCGTTTTGTTTCACCTTTTTCAGTTTTTCTGGAATTACAGTATATAGTGCCAATGAAGGCATAAAATTTAAGCAAGTACACTGTATAAACAAATATTCATCCTAAATTCCTATTTCATGATTCTCACTAGTCTATTATTTCCAAAGTATAGTAGATACAGTGGACTTGATCTAGATATCCAGCTACATTGGTGGCATCTCTGCTTATATGAAATATTATCCAACAGCAGCAATGCTTTTCCCCAGTAACAGTCATGTATTACTCTGGCTGCTGAAATTGCAGTATGTGACATCATATGCTAATAAAAAAAAATAATGTAGTGCACTACAAGACGTGGCATAAAATGGATACTAAATACAGGATTCCATCAAAAAGTACAGTGAATAAGGACAATTTAAGAAGAGTTTATCAAGAAGTTAATTAGTTAGTAACTATCTACTCACAGCCTAGCTTCCTTCCTTCATATTTTAGGTACCTGAATTTCCAGAACTTGAGATTTTCAGGTATAGAACCTTTACAGTTCTCCTGTATCACTTCACATCAGGAGATTTATTCTCAACTGTCTTCCAAAACACTTAATACCATCTCAAGAATGAACATTTTATTTCCATGTTTGCCATTCTCCAACATATTGTTCTGTATGGAACTACACAGTAGCATATATTTCCCTTAATCCAATACAGCAGACTACTAGTAATGGAAACATTTAAGCAGTTACTAGTGCTTTATAGAATAATAAATTAATCAGGTTGCTAATGTATACATTTGGGATTATTGATGATAAAAGTTTCAAGGTAACCACATTTCTATACCATTACCATTATTAGAAGTAGTACAGTATTACCGTAACATCTAGGAGTACTAGTCATGGATCAGGACCCCCTTGTGCTAGGCACTGTATAAACACAGAACCAAAAGATAGTCCCTACTCCAAAGATCTTACAATCTAAGTGTACGACAAGAAATGAAGACAGATAGACTGGGAAGCATAAAGAAACAATAAAACAACCAGTGGCAACTCTGAAAAGTGCCAGATCCACAGGATTAAGAAAGATAAAACTAGAGGAAACTTAACAGGAGCCAAAACTATTTATCTGCTTTAAAAAAAAAAAAAAGGCAGACACCAATAAACAGACAGCTGAAAAAATGGCTGCTTTAGGGCTGGAGCTGTTTGTCTTTGCCAGACTAAAAGGGCCAGTCCCATAAAAGCATGAGAAAGGCGAAAAAGTTACCATACAATGATAACCCTACACTACGAAGCCCCTCTAGGAAGCAGGCAATCACCAAGAAAATATCTGTGAAAATAGCTGTTGTACATGAACTCTACACCATGCATCCGAATTGAGAAACTCTGAAA